TTCTATGCAATTAGCTCCATGGATCATACCATATTATACGTCAAAGAATGAACTATGATTCAAAAAAGGAAAATTTCTTGCGACAAGCAAAATTTTCCCTTCTTTGTATCACAGCTCGTTCTTTAATGTTTTGAAGAATAAATATCTTACTAATTTATCAAAGCGATATCTCATTGTTATAAAATTGAAGAACGAACCGTGATACAAAGAAAGGAAAATGATATCTCTTTGATAAAACCAATTAGATACCCTAATAAAAAATTACCATAAACGAACAATAACCCAAATGTGTGAACTATTCCACAAATGGTTTGGATGATACCCAGAACACGTCGTTAAGCAAATTAACCATAACATTTTTATTAGGGTAGATATTATGCGATACGTTAAGAAACGAGCTGTGCTACAAAGAAGGAACATTTCTTGAAACAAACAACGATTTTTCTTCTTTGTATAAGGGGTGATGTACAAATTATGTCACGCCCTAAGGAGGGACGTGTAGAAATCTGTGATTGATTAATTTTGCCTCAATTTCGCGTGACATAATTAATGTATGGCCCCTAACGGCTCGTTTTTTTTTTAATTTGATTACGATTAGATATCAGTTTTATAAATTAGTAAGCTATTTATTCTTCAAAACGTTAAAGAACGAGCTGTGATACAAAGAAGAGAAAATTTTGTTTGTTGCAAGAATTTTTCCTTCTTTTTATCTTAGTTGATTATTTGACGTATAACTTGGTATGTTCCATGGAGCCAATTGTATACAATGTATGTGTGTGTGTGTTGGATAGGTACGAACGTTAAAAAACTCCATACTAATAAATAAAAGATACCATGCGTCCCCATGCAATACATGCTATAGTCACTTTGCGACTCCTTATAGGCCGAATCCAAAATTGTATGGAGCAAGAAGAAAACACCATACACCGATTTCAGAATATTCGGTAAAAAATTACAGGAAATCTGTGAAAAATCACCGAACTGTTTACCGAACGTTCAGCTGTTGAGATTTCGGTAAAATTTCACAGATTTCGGTGAAATAATCTTAGTGTGTGACCTTTACATGTAGTTTTAACGAAAGTCAAACTATTGTCTTAAGCGAACCCCACACGGTAAGAAATATTGTCAATACTTAACAATAATATTGATGATGTGAATACAGATATATTGTCAATACCGATGTATTGACGTCAATATAAAATGCATTGACAATACGATTATTGTCAATACAAACAGTCGTGTAGAGTCCACTTTAATTCGACACACATTGATATGTGTATTGTGGTATTGTTCGATACAAGTAGTTAACCAGCGAAAGATTTGATGAAACTGACACAATTTTCCCTTCTTTATATCAAAGCTCAGTCTTTATGCTCATTACAATCAGATATCAATTTGATAAACCGCCAAATGTCATAACAAGTCATAACCACAAACTTTATCTAGGGTGTTGAACGACTTTGTTCTGTTTATCAATATTCAGCAAAGATATTTTTCTCAATTTCATATAGATAAGTTGTAACAAACCCAAGGATCATATTTAAATAGATCGCACAGTGTAAATTGTATCTTTCGGGGAACTAGCTCTTTCGGGGAAATAGTTCTTTCGGGGAAATAGTGTTCGGGAAAACGTTCCTTTCGGGGAACTGGTTCATTCGGGGAATCGTATTTCGGGGATAAAACTTTCGAGGAAAGTGTTTTCGGGGAACTGGTTTTCGGGGAAAAGTCGTACAATCCGTCGTACACCAGCTCCAGCTGTCGCTTCTTTCTCGTCGTCGGGTCTCCCTTCGTGTCGGCAGTGCACGTTGATGATGCTGTAGTTGAAGAAACGGAACTTGTTTCACCTACCAACTAGTGGTTTTTGTATCCATGATGAATGGCTGTTCATGGCTATTCAGGCTCTGAACCATTTGGTGGATTATTTTAACTTTTAGTTAAAATTTGACAGATGGAAAGTTATCGATGAACCCTGCTATCCGAGCTTTGTTATTTCTGACAGACAATAAGTTAAATTTTGACAACCGTTGGTTAAAAACCGGTCGATCGACACCACGGGGATTTTCGAACATAGAAAATAACTTTCGAAATGTCACTTTTAACCACGAGTTAAATTTAACTCGGCAAATGGTTCACAGCCTCAATATGGAAATGTGAATAATCGATTTAGGCTCTGAACCATTTGGTGGATTATTTTAACTTTTGGTTAAAATTTGACAGATGGAAAGTTATCGATGAACCCTGCTATCCGAGCATGGTTATTTCTGACAAACAAGAAGTTAAATTTTGACAACCGTAGGTTGAAAACCGGTCGATCGACAGCACGGGGATTTTCGAGCATAGAAAATAACTTTCGAAATGTCACTTTTAACCATGAGTTAAATTTAACTCGGCAAATGGTTCACAGCCTTAATAATCGAATCTAAAGCATTTCTAGACCAACAATTGAAATAGGCGGAACAACCAAACGTAACCAATGACTTTAAACGCAAATTCTTCGAGAATCAAAGCACATCCAAGCAAACCTGAAAACGTATCTATTGTGCGCTGGCCTTTTAACTGTTGTCCTATAAGCCAATTTTCAAATAAATATCATCATTTATTTGGAGGAGAGTCATATTTATGCTCATCAGTTGATGACGGATACAATCATAAGGAAATCATCCCTATTCGACAGGGCTCGAACAATACAATAATCAGTCGAAGTATTGCGGATGTTTTCGTTCAGTGTAGAATGAACTCCCGACCATCTGCTCAGTGCGCAGAAACGGTATCCACTAAGCTACCAAGGTTCGTCATCAGAATTATTGTTCTGTTTCACTCGCTTTTCGATTAGCTTCCAAAAGATTTCAATCCGAAGGCAATGCAAATGTGACCAAATGTTAGCTTTTACACTATGATTTAGTACTGTTTCGCAATGTATCCCCTTTAATGAGCTAATTGAAATTAAGCAAATCCAACTCTCAATTGCCCTCCGTTGACGTCAATCCCAGCAATGGTATCCATTTCGTAGTTTAAACCACTTCAAATCCATCTAAAGTCCCGGCTTTCTCTCCACAAAGACCCTGCTTAAGTATTGCGAATGCACAATTCAAGCGAACGCAATCAATTCCGAGCTAATCTACTCGCTTGAATCGCAGCCGGCATAAGAGGTTCTCGAGAAAATTTCTTTTCGCCCATAGTTCGCTCGCTCATATCGTCGGGCTCATGCAATACTGTCACAACTCGATATAAAAATCCAATACTTTGTCAATCCACCGCTAGAGGAATGTACGACCTTCGAGAAAAAAGGTGTTATAAAGTGACATTATTCGGATTTTGTATACTTTTAACCGAAAAAAAAAACCGAGGAATGGGAAATTTTGAGTTGTGACAGTATTGCATGAACCCGACGATATATTCTGCTTTAGATGCTGCTGTACTATAATATGGCAACCGGCCAGAGAGTATAGTATATAGTAGCTTTACGCGTCGACTTGATTGAGTGACGGCTGATGGATTTAACAAGCTGTGTTCTGCGTTCTGAAACTCTCGAGATGCTCGATACTCGGTAAAAAGGGGATAATCATGATGGCGCTCTAATAGACACTGCAGAATGCATCAAGATTACATTCCTCAGCATGACTTACCGCGCTCGGCTCGAAATTCCTTCCTTATAGATATAGGTCTTGGATTGTAAAACTTCCCGCACTTTCTGTTGGTTTCTCTACGACAAAATGGTTATATTACAAAAAACGATAAAATGCTCCATAAACCTTGGAAAAATTCTTCTCCACAGCGTAACTACTCCGATTTACTGTCCTGTTCTTGATTTTTGATTTATTCAGAGGAGCGGAGCAACGGACAAGAGTCTAGGATAAGCTTCTAAAATAAGATTCTAAAGAAAAAGCTTTTGGCTCTTTTGGAAGCTAATTCTAGACGCTTGCAGCATTTCATCGTTTTAATATTTCGTTTCCATAGCTGCCGTTGATTATCAATGTAACCTTTCCAGCCAGCAAACGATCTCGATTCCATTCTGTTGTTGTTTATGTATAGGTTTCATTGAACCGCTGTTGAAGTTGACAATTCGATCCGTCCCCACAGAATAACAATTGGAAATTACCACCACCTGTTCTTCGACCCGACAACGCAGCAGGAAGAACCGCTCCAAAGTGACGACGATGAAGCAGTTGCATAAAGCATCCTGTTTTTGATTCCGTTTGTTCTGCTGCAGCTAATCGGATTTTCCTTTCGCGATGGCTTCGCGCCAAGAATCGTTGACAGTTAAAAACACTTTATCAACCGTGCGCCATCTCGTCTCGTCGATGGCGATGGCGAAGGCTCTTCTTTCGCAAGCCGGTGAAAAGCGATAAAAGTTTAGCACTCTAATACCTAACTGATCGGTAGTTTGCGATTTGAAGAAACTTGTGCCAAAAGCGCAGCGCTCTATGATTGTCACAAGAATGGGGTTGCTTTGATGTTTCGTCAGTGTTGCCAGTTTTCAACATGTAAGAATTCCGTTTGCACCGGTTTCGGTTGGCAATCCTGCCAACAAATTTCGTGACCGCGGAGGTTCTTGGCACCGACCACCGACCGCAGCACGGCTAATGACACTCATAATCGTAAAATATTGAAAATTAATAAACCAACCATCGCAGCACAGTCGTCCCTAGCCCTCTGCCAATGTGACACCGGAAGTGTGCGGCCCTCTAATATGGCATGCTTCGTGTATCGTTATTGTCACCAGCAGGCGGGTGGGAGGCGGCGTGGTGCACATCTGCATTATAAGGAAGTATTCCCCGCGTCTCTTTCCCTCTCCAAAGCAGTTGATTGTTGTTTTATGTAATCATATTTTCCACATCGATGTCGGATCGATGTGGATGAGGGTGGAATTAATATTCCGCATGGGCAAGACTAGTTGGCAACTTCCGGTTCGGTTGGTCGTGCGTACTGCCCTGCTCTTTTTGGAGTGCGATTCGTTACTAACCGGCCTACTTTTTTTTCTCTCTCTCTCTCTCTTGCAGACCATGCCACCTTGGATCGACCCGATGGAGCAGCACAGATCCACACGATACCGGCCCTGCGGCAGTAGCGGCTGGTCCTTCCGATCAGTCATGTACAGTAGTAGTATCGAGAGCGGTAGTGTTACAAGCAGTAGTTCCGTAAGCCCACTATTAGGATTAAGATCGTCGGGGTGTAGACTAAGATGGGTGATTGTGGTGGTGACCTTGTTGACAGTATTATCCACCGCCGAGGCGGTGTGCGATCCAGGTTGGTGGTGGAATCTGGAGCGAGAAGCTTGCGTTCCCTGTACGGTTTGTAGTGAGCAGAAGCTGGTCCTGCGGCCATGTCAGGAGTACATGGACACGGTCTGCGGGACGATAGGAGATTTGGACATGGATCTGGCGCAGCTGTCCCGCACCGAAGCGCGGCACGAACAGCGCCACTCGAAAGAGGTTAGTTTCTATGATCCAAAAACCAATCCAGTCGAGCCTCGATTCTAACCTCAAAACTCTTTCGCAGGAACGCCGGAAAGATGGTCACGACGGCCACCACCAGCAGCATGGTCAGCAGCACCATTCGGCACAGCATTCGCAGGTGTCCGGTCCCAGGAAGCACGAAAACACCGAAGAAATTCTGTGGGACTGGCAGGCGGCCTCGCTGCTGCTGGCCATCATCGGGTGTCTGATGTTCTTCTTCGCCGCTGCCCTCATTGCGCTCAACCAGACGCGCCAATGGAGGCGAATCGAGAAGCACTTTGACGCGGGTAAGTCACCAACAATTTTCAAAAATGATCCACAAATGTCAGCTTGCAAACACTTTGCATGTTTTGACGGTGAAAGCGCGACGGAACGAGAGGAAACGGTACATTTGCGTTCCGTCACAGCAGGCGACGATGGTAAACTATTTTTGCTGCGCAAAAGTCATCGATAATTAACTAAGCAGCCGCAGTGGCAAAGACGATTAACAGATGGAAGTGAATCGGGGAAAGGAAGTTCGTTGCTTCTGGTGGATTGAGTATAAACGGGGGGCTCAGCCGGACTCGAGCGATTGGCTTTTATCGTGTTTAATTGATCAGCCGTTTGACCGCGCCGCCGCCGACGACGACGGAAGTGCAAGGCGTATTCATCAATTGCGATTGAATGGAATTGGGAGTTGCGATAGTCGTGTGTATATCGGTTTTGGACGTTGTGACCATAACCATTAGGGTGGTTCAAAATATCGATTTTGCTCCAACAAGCTCAATCGATTCCAAATCAGGTCCTGATCATTCTCCCAAAATTTTGGACTCGTTTAGATGTGAACTCAAACTGCACTGGCCCTGTGTGATTTGTTTTGACGTAGGATTACGTCTTCCGGCAACATATTAGGGGTGCAATTTAAAAAAAACCAAAATGACCGCGTTATAAAAAGTGGTCAGGTTTTGAGGTTTTGGAGATGCAAAATGAACCAAGCTGCAATACTTGAATTCGTTTCATCATATCGTAAAATAATTGGTTCGATTTTGAGGTCCGTCTTCGTATCACCCAGCACTGCCCCTTAGAAGTTTATATGGGCCTTATTAAAAAGTTACATTTTGAATAGCTTAGAACATTTCGCCTTTCATTCCGAAACACAAAACCAATCAAATGACTCGTTTGGAGTTATTAATTTTGTTTCGCTAGATTGAATTCCTCGGCCACTGTGGCAATGGAAAGGCGGAGTCTGGGTGTAGTGGTTAGAATCCATACCTCTCACGCCAAAGTCACGAGTTCAAATCTCACCACAGACAAGTCACGAATGACCCAAGAGCGTTAAAGTGACTATAATAAAAAAGGCGGAGTCTGCTGTTTTGTTTGCCGAATCTCTGAAAATTTTGACGGCTATTCGGCAATGTTCAAGGTATTCAACAGTTTTCACAAACCAGCTATTCTTAGAACCTGGTTGTGATTCCTGAATCATCATAGCTGAGTCAAGTTAAGGGCTAAACACAATGATAGCGGCATAGCGGCAATCGTAAATTTGTCAATACACTGAAATCCGTTTGTCAATCCATAATTAGTGCGTTGTGGCAAAAGCGGCATTGTACTAAACCGCGTTTTGTTTCAATATTCTGGATAAAATGCGTTGCGGCAACCTGATAAGTGCTCAATGTTTTCAGTTGCATTTTTTCTGCAATTTTAGATTAACCAGAACTTTCAACCATCCAAGGTCATAGTATGTAGTCAGAACCACGTTGGCCGTATCCGGACATGTTCCGTGTATCCCCGGTGAAGTGCTTTTTTTAGATTCAGTTGTTAGATTCCAAGGGGAAGGTCACTCGGCACACCAATCTTGGGTCATCTTTTTCGTCAGTGTGCCGCAGGTGTACCGATTGTGCCGGTCATAGAGCAGGCTGCGATTGTTTGCAAAATATCCATCCCGGCAACCCGGTATTTCTGACATCTTGAATGTTTTGGTTTGAAATCGCAAGGATAAATCGGATAGAGGATGACGCGGGAAGTGGCGGGTGTTGGTGTTTTATGTTCATAGGTTGATAAAAGGGTTTTACCAGAAACCTAGCCTACCATGCTGTGAAAAACAACGGTCTATCAACGGCCTGGGGTACATTGTTGGAAACCGACTATTGAGGATGATGTAGTTCTGTAGACTTCTGTAGTTTGTTTTGTGTGAGTTGCATCATTATTTGAAATAAGGGTGCTAATGCGGTCTGAATAACTGGCTCTTTCTGTTGAGCCCACTTTAGAACATACGTTTCTTATTTAGATCTATAAGTGAACTGCTGGTCTGAGTTCCTTTGGTATATTCAATTAGAGGATGTTCTTAAATATAGATTCAAACAGCACGTAATATTGTGAATAACTTCAATGACAGTTATCCAGCAGTGCTCCCATTTTATTTACAAAAACATAATGCCTACAAGATTGTGCCGAAGGCATGCCGAAAGTGTGTCGAAGGTGTGCCGATTAATGTGCCCAAGTTGTGCCGAATCTAATTTCGACACAATGTGCTGAGTGACCTACCCCCTTGTTAGATTCTTTTTGAACCAACCTACATGCGACACATCAACTTACATGAGAATTCAAAAAATATGATCATTGGTGGCCATATTAAGTACTCAGTACCACGTTGGCCAGATCCGGATATGTTCCGCATACCGCCGGAGAAGTGAAACTTGACACATCAAACTACATGAGAATTCAAAAATAAGAACATTGGTGGCCATATAAAGTTCTTAGAACCACACTAGTCAGACATGTTCCGGGGGTTCCCGGGTAGGTTCATAAATTTCCCGAAATTTTCCTGAGGCCAATGGAACTTCTCTGGAGTTCTCGGAAATTTCTTCATAACTACTCTGAAGGTCTCCTCAGAACTACTCTGAAGTTCTCCTCAGAACTACTCTGAAGTTCTCCTCAGAACTAGTCTGAATATCTTCTCAGACTTACTCTGAAACTTTTCATAGAAACTCTAAAATTCTTCTCAGAACTACTCTGAAATTTTCCTCAGAATTACGTTTAAGTTCTTCTCAGAACTACTCCAAAGTTCTCATCAGAATTACTTTGAACTTCTCCTCAGAACTACTCTGAAGTTCTCCTCAGACTTACTCCAAAACTCTCAACAGAACTACTCTGAAACTCTCCACAGTACTACTCTGAAGTTCTCCTCAGAACTACTCTGAAGGTCCCCTCAGAACTAGTCTGAAGTTCACCTCAGACTTACTTTGAAGGTCTCCTCAGAACTGCTTTGAACTTCTCTTCAGAACTACTCTAAAGTTCTCCTTAGAACTGCTCTGAAGTTCTCCTCAGAACTACTCCAAAGTTCTCCTCAGAATTACTTTGATTTCTCCTCAGAGCTACTCTGAAGGTCTCTTCAGAACTACTCTGAAGTTCTCCTCAGAACTATTCTGAAACTCTTCACAGAACTACTCTGAAGGTCTCCTCAGAACTATTCTGAAGTTCTCCTCAGAGTTACCCTGAAATTTTCCTCAGAACTGCTTTGAACTTCTCCTCGAAACTACTCTGAAGTTCTCCTTAGAACTGCTCTGAAGTTCTCCTCAGAACTACTCCAAAGTTCTCCTTAGAATTACTTTGATTTCTCCTCAGAACTACTCTGAAGGTCTCTTCAGAACTATTCTGAAGTTCGCCTCAGAACTACTCTGAAACTCTCCTCAGAACTGCTTTGAAAGTCTCCACAGAAGTTTTCCTCAGAACTACTCTGAAACTTTGCACAGTACTACTCTGAAATTCTCCTCAGACTTACTCTGAAACTCTACACAGAAAAATACTCTGAAGTTCTCCTCAGAATTACTTTGAACATCTCCTCAGAACTACTCTGATGTTCTTTTCAGAACAACTCTGAAGTTCTCATCAGAACTACTCTGAAGCTCTCCACAGAACTACTCTGAAGTTATCCTCAGAACTATTCTGAAACTCTCCACATAAATACTCTGGAGTTCTCCTCAGAACTACTTTGAACTGCTTTTCAAAACTGCTCTAAAGTTCTCATTAGAATTACTTTGAACTTCTCCTCAGACTTACTCTGAAATTCTCTACAGAAATACTCTGAAATTCTCCTTAGAATTACTCTGAAATTTTCCTCAGAATTACTCTGAAGTTCTCTTCAGAACTACTCTGAAACTCTCCACAGAACTCTACTCTGAAGTTCTCATCAGAACTACTCTGAACCGCTTCACAGAACTACTCTGTAGTTCTCCTCAGAACTCCTCTGAAGGTCTCCTCAGAACTACTTTGAAGTTCTCTTCAGTCTTACTCTGAAACTCTTCACAGAACTACTCTCAATTCCTCTCAAAACTATTCTGCAGGTCTCCTCAGAACTACTCTGAAGTTCTCCTCAAGCTTACTCTGAAACTCTCCACAGGAATACTCTGAAATTTTCCTCAGATTAACGCTGAAACTTTCCACAGAACTACTCTGGAGTACTCCTCAGAACTTCTTTGAAACTCTCCAAAGAAATACTCTGAAGTTCTCCTCAAAATTACTTTGAGCGTTTCCTCAGCACTACTCTGAAGTTCTCCTCGGACTTACTCTGAAGTTCTCATCAGAAAAACTCTGAAGTTCTCCTCAGACTTACGCTGTAACTCTCCACAGAACTACTCTGAAGTACTCCTGAGAACTTCTTTGAAACTCTCCAAAGTACTACTCTGAAGTTCTCCTCAAAATTACTTTGAAAGTTTCCTCAGAACTACTCTGAAGTTCTCCTCAGAAATGCTCTGAAACTGTCCACAGAACTACTCTGAAGATCTCCTTAGAACTATTTTGAAGGTCTCCTCAGAACTGCTCTGAAGTTCTCATCAGAAATTCTCTGAAGTTCTTCTCAGACTTACTCTGAAACCGGCCACAGAACTACTCTGAAGTTCTCCTCAAAATTACTATGAACTTTTCCTCAGAACTACTCTGAAGTTCTCCTCAGAACTACTCGGAAACTCTCCACAGAACTACTCCGAAGTTCTCCTCAGAACTACTCGGAAACTCTCCACAGTACTACTGTGAAGTTCTCCTCAGACTTACTCTGAAACTCTCCCCAGAAATATTCTGAAGTTCTCCTCATACTTACTCTGAAACCCTCCACATAAATACAGATATTCTCCTCAGAACTACATTGAACTTCTCCTCAGAACTACTATGAAGTTCTCCTCAGAACTACTCTGAAATTTTCCTCAGAATTACGCTGAAGTTTTCCTCGGAACTACTCTGAAGTTCTCCTTAGAACTACTCTGAAGCTCTCCTGAGAACTATCCTGAAACTCTCCACAGAACTACTCTGAATT